ACCACAGACAGAACACACAGAAACATGGGGTCAGTTGTTGTTCACAGACACTGGTTTTTCTGCTCTCCACGGTGTCCTTCCGGGGGGGGGGTCTTCTGGGGGGGGGCTTCTCGGGGGGGGGGCTTCTTGTGGGGGGGTTCTTCTGGGGGGGGGGGTTGGTCTCGCAGGGGGGGGGTCTTCTCGGGGGGGGGTTCTTCTGGGGGGGGGGGGGTCTTCTCGGGGGGGGGCTGTCTTCTCGGGGGGTGTCTTCTCGTTTCAGTCTCAGTCTCGTCTCAGTCTCGTCTCAGTCTCGTCTCAGTCTCGTCTCAGTCCCGTCTCAGTCCCGTCTCAGTCCCGTCTCAGTCTCGTCTCAGTCTCGTCTCAGTCTCGTCTGAGTCTCGTCTAAGTCTCGTCTCAGTCTCGTCTCAGTCTCGTCTCAGTGTCGTCTCAGTGTCGTCTCAGTCTCGTCTCAGTCTCGTCTCAGTCTCGTCTCAGTGTCGTCTCAGTCTCGTCTCAGTCTCGTCTCAGTCTCGTCTCAGTGTCGTCTCAGTCTCGTCTCAGTCTCGTCTCAGTCTCGTCTCAGTCTCTTCTCAGTCTCGTCTCAGTCTCGTCTCAGTCTCGTCTGAGGCTCGTCTAAGTCTCAGTTTCGTCTCAGTCTCGTCTCAGTCTCGTCTCAGTCTCGTCTCAGTCTCGTCTCAGTCTCGTCTCAGTGTCGTCTCAGTGTCGTCTCAGTCCCGTCTCAGTCTCGTCTCAGTTTCGTCTCAGTCTCGTCTCAGTCTCGTCTCAGTCTCTTCTCAGTCTCGTCTCAGTGTCGTCTCAGTCTCGTCTCAGTCTCGTCTCAGTCTCGTCTCAGTCTCGTCTCAGTCTCATCTCTTTCTCAACAGTATCTCTCACCTGTAGGAACAAATAAAAGTCTGTGTGAGTAAGTTACATTTGTGCTTCTGCTGCCCTGGTTGTTACCTCCAGTCCCCTCTCCTGCATCTCCTCTGCTGCCCTGGTTGTTACCTCCAGTCCCCTCTCCTGCATCTCCTCTGCTGCCCTGGTTGTTACCTCCAGTCCCCTCTCCTGCATCTCCTCTGCTGCCCTGGTTGTTACCTCCAGTCCTCTCTCCTGCATCTCCTCTGCTGCCCTGGTTGTTACCTCCAGTCCCCTCTCCTGCATCTCCTCTGCTGCTCTGGTTGTTACCTCCAGTCCCCTCTCCTGCATCTCTTCTGCTGCTCTGGTTGTTACCTCCAGTCCCCTCTCCTGCATCTCCTCTGCTGCTCTGGTTGTTACCTCCAGTCCCCTCTCCTGCATCTCTTCTGCTGCTCTGGTTGTTACCTCCAGTCCCCTCTCCTGCATCTCTTCTGCTGCCCTGGTTGTTACCTCCAGTCCCCTCTCCTGCATCTCCTCTGCCCTGGTTGTTACCTCCAGTCCTCTCTCCTGCATCTCTTCTGCTGCCCTGGTTGTTACCTCCAGTCCCCTCTCCTGCATCTCCTCTGCTGCTCTGGTTGTTACCTCCAGTCCCCTCTCCTGCATCTCTTCTGCTGCCCTGGTTGTTACCTCCAGTCCCCTCTCCTGCATCTCTTCTGCTGCTCTGGTTGTTACCTCCAGTCCCCTCTCCTGCATCTCTTCTGCTGCCCTGGTTGTTACCTCCAGTCCCCTCTCCTGCATCTCCTCTGCTGCTCTGGTTGTTACCTCCAGTCCTCTCTCCTGCATCTCTTCTGCTGCCCTGGTTGTTACCTCCAGTCCCCTCTCCTGCATCTCCTCTGCTGCCCTGGTTGTTACCTCCAGTCCTCTCTCCTGCATCTCTTCTGCTGCCCTGGTTGTTACCTCCAGTCCCCTCTCCTGCATCTCCTCTGCTGCCCTGGTTGTTACCTCCAGTCCCCTCTCCTGCATCTCCTCTGCCCTGGTTGTTACCTCCAGTCCCCTCTCCTGCATCTCTTCTGCTGCCCTGGTTGTTACCTCCAGTCCCCTCTCCTGCATCTCCTCTGCTGCCCTGGTGGTTACCTCCAGTCCCCTCTCCTGCATCTCTTCTGCTGCCCTGGTGGTTACCTCCAGTCCCCTCTCCTGCATCTCCTCTGCTGCCCTGGTTGTTACCTCCAGTCCCCTCTCCTGCATCTCCTCTGCTGCCCTGGTGGTTACCTCCAGTCCCCTCTCCTGCATCTCCTCTGCTGCCCTGGTTGTTACCTCCAGTCCCCTCTCCTGCATCTCCTCTGCTGCCCTGGTGGTTACCTTCAGTCCCCTCTCCTGCATCTCTTCTGCTGCTTTGTGTGGACTCCTGTAGGTCTTGGGACCATCAGTCCAGTGGATTCTAATCTTAGTTAATGGCGTCTGAAATCTGATACCGTTTTCTTTCAGCACTTTCTTTATGCCTCCGTACGCTTTGCGTTGTTAGACTACTTCGCACGCGTAGTCTTTCAGTCGCTCAATTTTCAGTCGTTTCTGCCAAGCCTTTTTCAGGATCATCTCTTTTATGTCAAACCGAATAAAATTCACAACGATGGAGCTCAGTGCAGGTCTCCCAGTGGCTGCCCTGAGCAGGTCTCCCAGCGGCTGCCCTGAGCAGGTCTCCCAGCAGCGCCCAGTGCAGGTCTCCCAGCAGTGCCCTGAGCAGGTCTCCCAGCGGCTGCCCTGAGCAGGTCTCCCAGCAGCGCCCAGTGCAGGTCTCCCAGCAGTGCCCTGAGCAGGTCTCCCAGCAGTGCCCTGAGCAGGTCTCCCAGCAGTGCCCTGACCAGGTCTCCCAGCAGTGCCCTGAGCAGGTCTCCCAGCAGTGCCCTGAGCAGGTCTCCCAGCAGCTGTCCTGAGCAGGTCTCCCAGCAGCTGTCCTGTGCAGGTCTCCCAGCAGTGTCCTGAGCAGGTCTCCCAGCAGTGTCCTGAGCAGGTCTCCCAGCAGTGCCCTGAGAAGGTCTCCCAGCGGCTGCCCTGAGCAGGTCTCCCAGCAGTGCCCTGAGCAGGTCTCCCAGCAGTGCCCTGAGCAGGTCTCCCAGCAGCTGTCCTGAGCAGGTCTCCCAGCAGCTGTCCTGAGCAGGTCTCCCAGCAGTGTCCTGAGCAGGTCTCCCAGCAGCTGTCCTGAGCAGGTCTCCCAGCAGCTGTCCTGAGCAGGTCTCCCAGCAGCTGCCCTGAGCAGGTCTCCCAGCAGCTGCTCCTGAGCAGGTCTCCCAGCAGCTGCCCTGAGCAGGTCTCCCAGCAGCTGCTCTGACCAGGTCTCCCAGCAGTGTCCTGAGCAGGTCTCCCAGCAGTGCCCTGAGCAGGTCTCCCAGCAGTGTCCTGAGCAGGTCTCCCAGCAGTGTCCTGAGCAGGTCTCCCAGCAGTGTCCTGAGCAGGTCTCCCAGCAGTGTCCTGAGCAGGTCTCCCAGCAGTGCCCTGAGAAGGTCTCCCAGCAGTGTCCTGAGCAGGTCTCCCAGCAGTGTCCTGAGCAGGTCTCCCAGCAGTGTCCTGAGCAGGTCTCCCAGCAGTGCCCTGAGCAGGTCTCCCAGCAGTGCCCTGAGCAGGTCTCCCAGCAGTGCCCTGAGCAGGTCTCCCAGCAGTGCCCTGACCAGGTCTCCCAGCAGTGTCCTGAGCAGGTCTCCCAGCAGTGCCCTGAGGAGGTCTCCCAGCAGTGCCCTGAGCAGGTCTCCCAGCAGTGTCCTGAGCAGGTCTCCCAGCAGTGCCCTGAGCAGGTCTCCCAGCAGTGCCCTGAGCAGGTCTCCCAGCAGCTGTCCTGAGCAGGTCTCCCAGCAGTGCCCTGAGGAGGTCTCCCAGCAGTGCCCTGACCAGGTCTCCCAGCAGTGTCCTGAGCAGGTCTCCCAGCAGTGTCCTGAGCAGGTCTCCCAGCAGTGTCCTGAGCAGGTCTCCCAGCAGTGCCTGAGGAGGTCTCCCAGCAGTGCCCTGACCAGGTCTCCCAGCAGTGCCCTGACCAGGTCTCCCAGCAGTGTCCTGAGCAGGTCTCCCAGCAGTGCCCTGAGGAGGTCTCCCAGCAGTGCCCTGAGCAGGTCTCCCAGCAGCTGTCCTGAGCAGGTCTCCCAGCAGTGCCCTGAGCAGGTCTCCCAGCAGTGTCCTGACCAGGTCTCCCAGCAGTGTCCTGAGCAGGTCTCCCGGCGGCGCCCTGTGTGCCGCTGGATCATGAGAGGAGTCTCCGCTGGTAACTCCAGTTTCCAAAGACATGCATACTGTTTCTCCGCGATCTCCCCTCCAAGTCTGTGAGCTTGTTTTTGAGAATCCTTTGTTCTTTTAGGACTTTTAAAATGGCATCCTTCGCTTTGGTGCTCCATTCTTCAACTTTACCAATGCGTGTGTGAGCTTCTTTCAAAGACTCGTTCATGTCTTGCTCGACATGACGAACTGCTCGCTCGTTGTCATCCAGTCTCTTGTTTATATCAACCTTGAATATATCAAACTCCTTCTTAATGTCATCCTTAACTTCTTCTTTAAAAGACTGGAATCCCTGTTTGATTTCTTGACTTAGAGCTTCCATTTGTCATGTCAGGTAGCGCTGTTAGCCATGATGGGATACTAGCCACTAGCATGTTAGCTCCGTTTTCTTCGGTAGAGGCCACATGTTCCATGTCGCCTTCTTGTTGTTTGTTTCGGGTTCTTCGAGTTTGACGCCCTCACTCACTTTTGATGGTGAATTCAGATGTCTTTGTGTCTGAACGGGGTTAGATTGTGTTTGACAGGCAAGAGCTCCGAATTATGCTGACATTCTCCTCGTATTTAATCCGTAGTGAAATTATGGAGAAAGTTGAATGATCTGAGAATGAATGACTTTCAAACCTTAAAATACATGTTTCTCTCTCTCTGGTCTCCCTCTGGTCTCTCTCTGGTCTCTCTCTGGTCTCTCTCTGGTCTCTCTCTGGTCTCTCTCTGGTCTCTCCCTGGTCTCTCTCTGGTCTCTCTCTGGTCTCTCTCTGGTCTCCCTCTGGTCTCTCTCTGGTCTCTCTCTGGTCTCTCTCTGGTCTCTCTCTGGTCTCTCTCTCTGGTCTCTCTCTGGTCTCTCCCTGGTCTCCCTCTGGTCTCTCTCTGGTCTCTCTCTGGTCTCTCTCTGGTCTCTCTCTGGTCTCTCTCTGGTCTCCCTCTGGTCTCTCTCTGGTCTCTCTCTGGTCTCTCTCTCTGGTCTCTCTCTGGTCTCTCTGGTCTCTCTGGTCTCTCTCTGGTCTCTCTCTGGTCTCTCTCTGGTCTCTCTCTGGTCTCTCTCTGGTCTCCCTCTGGTCTCTCTCTGGTCTCTCTCTGGTCTCTCTCTGGTCTCTCTCTGGTCTCTCTCTGGTCTCTCTCTGTGTTGTTTATGAAATTAAAGTTACGAACTGCAGCTTTAAATGACTGTTTATTTACAGTGTTTGTAAATGGTGTCTTCTCCTTTGAAACAGTTTGATGAAAGTGATGTGTTGGATCAAAGAGAGTTTTGTGAGAGTCTGTAATCTCTGCTGTTTATCCAGAGCCAGATGAAGGAGCATGTAAACAGTTATTATGGAGGAGACTGAGGAGGCTAACGCTAGCTCAGGGAGTCTACAACATGTATGACATTTATCAACATGTATGACATTTATCATATGTGTGACATTTATGACATGTATGACATGTATCACATGTGTGACATTTATCACATGTATGACATTTATCACATGTATGACATTTATCACATGTGTGACATTTATCACATGTATGGCATTTATCACATGTGTGACATTTATCTACATGTATGACATTTATCACATGTGTGACATTTATCACATGTATGACATTTATCAACATGTATGACATTTGCCACATGTGTGACATTTATCACATGTATGACATTTATCACATGTGTGACATTTATCACATGTGTGACATTAACAAATGTATGACATTTATCAACATGTATGACATTTACCACATGTGTGACATTTATCACATGTATGACATTTATCACATGTGTGACATTTATCACATGTGTGACATTAACAAATGTATGACATTTATCACATGTATGACATTTATCAACATGTATGACATTTATCACATGTATGACATTTATCAACATGTATGACATTTATCACATGTGTGACATTTATCAACATGTATGACATTTATCAACATGTATGACATTTATCACATGTATGACATTTATCAACATGTATGACATTTATCACATGTGTGACATTTATCACATGTATGACATTTATCACATGTATGACATTTATCAACATGTATGACATTTATCACATGTATGACATTTATCACATGTGTGACATTTATCACATGTGTGACATTAACAAATGTATGACATTTATCACATGTATGACATTTATCAACATGTATGACATTTATCACATGTATGACATTTATCAACATGTATGACATTTATCACATGTGTGACATTTATCAACATGTATGACATTTATCAACATGTATGACATTTATCACATGTATGACATTTATCAACATGTATGACATTTATCACATGTGTGACATTTATCAACATGTATGACATTTATCAACATGTATGACATTTATCAACATGTATGACATTTATCACATGTATGACATTTATCAACATGTATGACATTTATCACATGTATGACATTTATCACATGTATGACATTTATCACATGTGTGACATTTATCAACATGTATGACATTATCAACATGTATGACATTTATCACATGTATGACATTTATCAACATGTATGACATTTATCACATGTGTGACATTTATCAACATGTATGACATTTATCAACATGTATGACATTTATCAACATGTATGACATTTATCACATGTGTGACATTTATCACATGTATGACATTTATCACATGTGTGACATTTATCACATGTGTGACATTTATCACATGTGTGACATTAACAAATGTATGACATTTATCACATGTATGACATTTATCAACATGTATGACATTTATCACATGTATGACATTTATCAACATGTATGACATTTTTATGGGGCGACAGTAGCTCAGTTGGTAGAGCATTTGCCTTAAGGCCTGAAGGTTGTGGGTTCAATTCCCACCTCTACACCTTCTCCACCGACTCACACTGATGACTGCTGTCGTTGTGTCCTTGGGCAAGACACTTAACCCCACTTTGCCCAAAAGCCCCCACTGAAAGATCAAGGCTATGCTCACACTCAGAGAGCAGCCGTCCTCCTGTGGACTCACCACCTGCAGAGGGTCAGTGAGGGGCTGGTGCTATGAGACTTGGGTGGCATCTCTGACTGCCACCCCCCTGACCCAGAAATGGATTAAAGGGTAGAAAATGGATGGATGGATGGATGGACATTTATCACATGTGTGACATTTATCAACATGTATGACATTTATCAACATGTATGACATTTATCACATGTATGACATTTATCAACATGTATGACATTTATCACATGTGTGACATTTATCAACATGTATGACATTTATCAACATGTATGACATTTATCAACATGTATGACATTTATCACATGTATGACATTTATCAACATGTATGACATTTATCACATGTATGACATTTATCACATGTATGACATTTATCACATGTGTGACATTTATCAACATGTATGACATTATCAACATGTATGACATTTATCACATGTATGACATTTATCAACATGTATGACATTTATCACATGTGTGACATTTATCAACATGTATGACATTTATCAACATGTATGACATTTATCAACATGTATGACATTTATCACATGTATGACATTTATCACATGTGTGACATTTATCACATGTGTGACATGTATCAACATCCATCCATCTCCATCCATCTTCTTCCCTTTAATCCATTTCTGGGTCAGGGGGGTGGCAGTCAGAGATGCCACCCAAGTCTCATAGCACCAGCCCCTCACTGACCCTCTGCAGGTGGTGAGTCCACAGGAGGACGGCTGCTCTCTGAGTGTGAGCATAGCCTTGATCTTTCAGTGGGGGCTTTGGGCAAAGTGGGGTTAAGTGTCTTGGCATTTATCACATGTATGACATTTATCAACATGTATGACATTTATCACATGTATGACATTTATCACATGTGTGACATTTATCACATGTATGACATTTATCACATGTGTGACATTTATCACATGTGTGACATTTATCACATGTGTGACATTAACAAATGTATGACATTTATCACATGTATGACATTTATCAACATGTATGACATTTATCACATGTATGACATTTATCAACATGTATGACATTTATCACATGTGTGACATTTATCAACATGTATGACATTTATCAACATGTATGACATTTATCACATGTATGACATTTATCAACATGTATGACATTTATCACATGTGTGACATTTATCAACATGTATGACATTTATCACATGTGTGACATTTATCAACATGTATGACATTTATCAACATGTATGACATTTATCAACATGTATGACATTTATCACATGTATGACATTTATCAACATGTATGACATTTATCACATGTATGACATTTATCACATGTATGACATTTATCACATGTGTGACATTTATCACATGTATGACATTATCAACATGTATGACATTTATCACATGTATGACATTTATCAACATGTATGACATTTATCACATGTATGACATTTATCACATGTGTGACATTTATCACATGTGTGACATGTATCAACACCATCCATCCATCCATTTTCTTCCCTTTAATCCATTTCTGGGTCAGGGGGGTGGCAGTCAGAGATGCCACCCAAGTCTCATAGCACCAGCCCCTCACTGACCCTCTGCAGGTGGTGAGTCCCACAGGAGGATGGCTGCTCTCTGACTGTGAGCATAGCCTTGATCTTTCAGTGGGGGCTTTGGGAAAAGTGGGGTTAAGTGTCTTGGCATTTATCACATGTATGACATTTATCACATGTGTGACATTTATCACATGTATGACATTTATCACATGTATGACATTTATCACATGTGTGACATTTATCACATGTGTGACATTTATCACATGTATGACATTTATCAACATGTATGACATTTATCACATGTATGACATTTATCACATGTGTGACATTTATCACGTGTGACATTTATCACATGTATGACATTTATCAACATGTATGACATTTATCACATGTATGACATTTATCACATGTGTGACATTTATCACATGTGTGACATTTATCACATGTATGACATTTATCAACATGTGTGAGGTCCTCTCTTTCACCTCCTCCCTCCTCCCCACCTCCCCTTCTCTCTCCTCTCACCTCCTCCGCTCCTCCCCTCCTCTCCTCCTCCCCTCCTCCCCCTCTCTCCTCCCATCCTTACCATAGTAAAGCCACACACAGATGTAGATCCTCTCTTCTTTCCCCTGAGGACTGAGTTCATTAGGTTTGATGTGAACGCTGCTCTTGTCTAAACACATCACACAAATATGTGGAGCTTTGTCCAAGTTTGTGACACTTCCTCATCCTCGGCCAATCAGAGGCCAGGAAATAACAGCCTCAGCCAATCACAGACAGCTCTAATCAAAACAGGGATATTAAAGAAGACGTATAGTGCACCTCTATGCATGTTCCAACAGCAATGGTTCATGTCACTGGTTTATGTGAGAGACATTTGTATCTGATCTCTCTGGTCTCTCTCTGGTCTCTCTCTGGTCTCTCTCTGGTCTCTCTCTGGTCTCTCTCTGGTCTCTCTCTGGTCTCTCTTTGGCCTCTCTCTGGTCTCTCTCTGGTCTCTCTCTAATCTCTCTCTGGTCTCTCTCTCTCTGGTCTCTCTCTGGCCTCTCTCTGGTCTCTCTCTGGTCTCTCTCTCTGGTCTCTCTCTGGTCTCTCTCTGGTCTCTCTCTGGTCTCTCTCTGGCCTCTCTTTGGCCTCTCTCTGGTCTCTCTCTGGTCTCTCTCTGGTCTCTCTCTCTCCGGTCTCTCTCTGGCCTCTCTCTGGTCTCTCTCTGGTCTCTCTCTGGTCTCTCTCTGGTCTCTCTCTGGTCTCTCTCTGGCCTCAGACCTCAGACCAGAGTGAGACATGGATTTTATGACAGAGATTAAAAGGGGGTTTAAATTGTGGACCCCAACTTTTATTGTATGTTTCAGAATGTGACATCATTCTAAAGACGTGAATAATACAGTGAGAGACGGCGAGAGAGAGCAACACTGCCCTCTGGTGGAGTGAGGGGGACACAGGAGTTAGAACGTATGGATACATGTGTACAGTAAATACATTCGTGGTCTCAGCTTGTAATTCCCCACTTCTACCACCAGAGGGAGGTGTTCATTTGTATGGTTTAACATCATGTGAGTTTGTGAAGAGAGTATTTGGACAGAAGGGTTGGGGAGCGTGTTTGTGTTTCTCATGTCAATGTTCTGACCAGCTCTGGTTCTCCTGGTCTCACTGGTTTGGCTTAGAGGGACCAGAGAGAGAACAGAGAGAGGGACCCGAGGGAGACCAGAGACACCAGAGAGAGACACCAGAGAGAGACACCAGAGAGAGAGACCAGAGAGAGCGACGAGAGAGAGAGACCAGAGACAGACCAGAAAGAGAGACCAGACCGGAAGACCATGGGAGAAAGACCTGAGGGAGAAAAAAACGTTCCAACATGGAGAGATGTCTTGTATTGATGGTTGTACAGTTTGAGTAGAGAGAGAGAGACCAGAGAAAGAGACCAGAGAGAGACCAGAGAGAGACCAGAGAGAATCCAGAGAGAGACCAGAGAGAGAGACCAGAGAGAGACCAGAAAGAGACCAGAGAGAGACCAGAGAGAGACCAGAAAGAGACCAGAGAGCACCAGAGAAGACGTGTTTTTGCCATTACTTTTTACCAAATTGGCAGAAAGAAGCATTTGAGTATTTAACCTTTTCCACCAGCAGAGGGCGGTGTTCATTGCAGTGTATTGAGGGAACTATGTGGAGAACCAGGACATGTAACTTCAAAACCACAAACTATGTCTTCAAAATCTCAGTTTCCTGAGAGAGACCAGAGAGAGGCCAGAGAGAGACCAGAGAGGGACCAGAGAGAGACAGAGAGACCAGAGAGAGACCAAAGAGAGACCAGAGAGAGAGCAGAGAGAGAAGCTCTGAAGCTTTTACTTTGGATTTTCTCTCTCTCTGGTCTCTCTCTGGTCTCTCTGTCTCTCTCTGGTCCCTCTCTGGTCTCTCTCTGGTCTCTCTCTCTCTGGCCTCTCTCTGGTCTCTCTCTGGTCTCTCTGGCCTCTCTCTAGTCTCTCTCTGGTCTCTCTCTGGTCTCTCTCTGGTCTCTCTCTCTCTGGCCTCTCTCTGGTCTCTCTCTGGTCTCTCTGGCCTCTCTCTAGTCTCTCTCTGGTCTCTCTCTGGTCTCTCTCTGGTCTCTCTCTGGTCTCTCTCTGGTCTCTCTCTGGTCTCTCTCTGGTCTCTCTCTGGTCTCTCTCTGGTCTCTCTCTAGTCTCTCTCTGGTCTCTCTCTGGTCTCTCTCTGGTCTCTCTCTCTGGTCTCTCTCTGGTCTCTCTCTGGTCTCTCTCTAGTCTCTCTCTGGTCTCTCTCTGGTCTCTCTCTGGTCTCTCTCTGGTCTCTCTCTGGTCTCTCTCTGGTCTCTCTCTGGTCTCTCTCTGGTCTCTCTCTGGTCTCTCTCTAGTCTCTCTCTGGTCTCTCTCTGGTCTCTCTCCCACAGTCTGCACAGTGAGGACCAGGACTGGACCCTCTCTCTCCGCTGTCTCTGTTGTAATGATTAGAGGATAGTGACTCAGAGTTTCCACGCTCCGGTCCCTCCCCTGCCCCCTGCCCCCCCCCCTCTCCTCCCTCTCCTCCCTCTCCTCCCTCCCCCTCAGCCTCACCCCTCCCTCTGGAACAAAGCCTTGTTGCAGACCTCCACACTCCCCCTTGTCTCCTTCTCTCTGTTCTTCTTGTTGTAACAGTTTGTGCTGAAACACTGAGTCCACAGAGAAAGGAAGCTCTGGACTCCCTCAGATCTCGGTATTTCGTCTCACTGACTGTGACTAGGATCATAACAACCCCCGTTTTCAATCCCGGACTTTTGATTTAACAATATGTGTTGTGCAGGTTCAACATAAAAAATAATCTAATATAAATTAATCTAATCTAATAATCTGGTCAGAGTCCGGGGCAGGGATGAAGTTTATAATGAGACGAAATACCAAGATTTTATCAAAGTGTACAAACACACACACACACACACAGACACACACACACACATACACGTTTTTGTTACCTGGTGGGTCCCTTTGACAGGGCCGTTCAGAATGGGACCCATAGACATAATCTTTTTTTACTGGGACTACTTTAAGTAATACAAAACAGTCAATAGAAACCAAACAACTATTTTAAAGGAATTTTATTTTAGATTTTGTTTTCGAATTGCAGTGATTCTATTTTTGACATAGAATTTAATGCCACTCCATGTCCGATGTCTAAGGTCATCTGGTGAGGCATTAATGCAGGCCAGGCAGTGAGACTTCCCAGGGACCTTTCCAGTCTGTATGAAAGGTGTCATGGTCTTCTCCACAGCCTTCACCTCAGATGCAGACCATGGCTTTCTTACACGTTCTAGGGAGAGAAATAAAAATATATTAGCAATATACACTCCCAGGGTTAGGACCAAGCAGCCTGGCTGTAATCCCCCACCTGGTACACTTACCAGAAGGGGCACTGCCACTACCATGGGGTGCATCTGGATGAATGGTTGAAGGTTCTCCGCTTGAAGTTTCTTTTAGCCCGTCCGTTTGTGAGAGGATCTCTACTGCTCTCCCTGTCGCACAGAAAATAAAAATACAAGTGGCCTTTAGGGGAAAAAAATCATACATATTTTAATAATATCAAGAATTACCTTCAGGCTCAATTTGTATCTGGTCGAGGCTCTTTCCTTCGAATTCCGTCACTCTTCCCTGCTCCATGGCCATCAACACTTTGCTGATTTTGGCCAGCTCCAGTGTCCCCTCTGGTAGTCTGTAATATTGCCTGTGGATGCGAATGTCATGGCCGAGGAAGTTGGCAAGTATGTCCATCTCATTCTCTTTCATATTGAGAACTGTAGACATAGTAGCTATGTGCTTTCTAAGTTTGGTTGAGGATAGCATCTCTGGATGCACCGCACCACATTCTTTGGCTACCTGGCGTAGGGAGTCTGATCCCCTGATGTGGGTGTCTGCGCCCGGGCGGGAAAAGAAGTATGGGTTATGGTCAGAGATGGAACAGGCCCTTCTGTTCTCCACCAGCACCTCCATCGAAGCAATCATTTCAGGAGTCAAAAGAACCGGCACTTTCCGACAGGTCCCGGAGTGTTCCACTTGGCTTGCCGGAGGGTCTGCTTCAGGGCAGCAGAGAAACACAGCCGTTGAAGAAAAGTGTTTTGATGATTTTTCTTTTTCCATACTTTTTTACAGGTTTCTTCTTGACAGTTAAATCGTCCGAATCTGAGTCGACTTCATCAATTAGGGACTCTTGACTAAGCTGCACAAACAACAAGATAATTTGTAATCATTCTATATAACAATTTGAAGTCATGACTTGTAGTCAGACACTTACCAGTGGTTTGTAGCGTGCGCTTCAGTGTGCTGCTCTGTGATTGGCTGCAGCCTAATGAACCACACACTTGCACCTTTTTCTAGCCTGACACCTGATTTCCTCTGTTGTGCAGCTCCATGATTGGCTCAGCCTCTGTTGGTGTGCTCCATGATTGGCTCCAGCCTCTTGTTGTGCTGCTCCATGATTGGCTCAGCTCTGTTGTGCTGCTCCCTGATTGGCTCCAGCTGCTGGACTGAAATTGCCCCAGTGTGCCCCTCCTTGATATCCCGCAACCCACCACCAGGGTTCCGACACATAACACACTTTTTTCAGGAAAGTAAACCTCCAGGGGTCCTTTCCATATTTTTACAGAGACTGCATAAGGACCGTTAGAAAAGCATTACCCATTGATTATTAAGCTTGGACCAGTGGGGTCCGGTGTTCGGGCCCCACCACGTAAAACCAGTCCCCATGACGTGAGTGGAATCTCAGGTTATGGAACCCACCAGGAGTTGAAAACAAGAGTGCACACACACACACACACACACACAGACACACACACACACACATACACACACACACACACACACAGACACACGCGCACACACACACCCACACACACACACACACACACACCTACACACACACATACACACACACACACACACAC